GAGCAGAACCGCCCCGCGCACGCCAGCTGCTCCGAGGGCCCCAGTTCTTCGACGCCACGGACCCCCGAGTGACGTCAAGGAGACCCTCGGCGGCCCGTCATTTCCCGGGAAATGCCTCGTCGTCCAGTGTGGGTGCAGGTCCGCACTTCTCAGCTGCGCGAGGAGCCACGCGTCCCGGAACTTGATGTCCTGTAATTTTACTTCTGCGTTATTAGAAAGGCCTCCGCATGTAACTATGCCAGGAAGATAGGTAGGGAAATATACTGCAATTGGTTTCAAAGACAGCTCATCTAAAAGCAGCAGGATCTATGAAAGCCACTGATGTTTGCATAAATCAACAGAATTTTTAAAAAGTCGTGTGACAATATGTACATTTGGAAGAAAATATATCTATAGAAGGAGGTTGACAGCCGGGCGTAGTGGCGCACGCCTGTAATCCTAGCACTGGCGAGGCTGAGGCAGGAGGATCGTCGTGAGTTCTAGACCAGCCTGGGCCATAAAGAAGGAGGTTGCCTAGCTATGTTTTCTTAGCGAGATGAGTAGCAAGTTTAAAGGTTTGGGAGGAATTATGCTCTCTTTTGGAAGACACTGGAGTGTTAAACGCCGCGGCAGAGAAACCCAAGCTGTAGTTTAGATGATAAAGGGTGCATCTGATACACTGAATATTCTCCTTTTAAAGAATGTCTACTGTTTTATTTTCAATAGTGAATTAAAGCCTTAGGTAGTTACAGTTTTATGTGATAGCAGATCAGTTGCTGAAACAGTATATTGTATCAGGAAAGATTAATTCAGTAAGCTTTTCACCCACTTTTTGTTCAATAAAAAGATAAATTTTCATTCTCTTGTAACAGTAGTATGAACTCTTTAGAATGTGCAGTGTTAAGTGTATATGAAATACATAGCTTTTAAAGTGGTTTATAATGCGGGGCGTGGTGTGCATGCCTGTAATCCCAGCACTCGGGAGGCTGAGGCAGGCGGATCCTTGCGAGTTCAAGACCAGCCTGGGCTACAAAGTGAGTTCAAGGCTAGCCTGAACTGCATAGGGAGACCCTGTCCCAAAAAGACAAAAATAAAATAAAATAAAATAAAAAATAAAGTGGTTTATATTTTACCAACTTTTAACAAGAAATTAGACTACTAGAAAGTATGGAAATCATGGTTATGCAAATAATAGCTATTCTGCAAACATTCTGAGCTTTACAGATGTTTAATGGTAGCGATTTCTCTTGCAGCACTGTGGCCTTTCTAGCTGGTTTCCATGTTCGAATCCCACAAGCCAATACCCACATGTACGTGTATATTACCGGTACCTGTTACAATGTGTTATTATCAGCACCTTTAATGTGAAGTTAATCCATGTTATTGTTTGCCCAAAGCAACTTCAGAGAAATCTCTTTACACCTAAAAAATATAAATATTAAGACTCCAGTGATGTACTTAAGATACAAGTACTCTCCACAAAGTTAATATTTTTCTGTTTTTCACTACATTGAAAGAGTATGACTGGTTATCAGCTGCTTTTCACGTAATAGTGTGTCCAATCACACATGTTACTGTTATAATGTGTTACTTTAGAAACAACTATCTGAGAACCAGTTTCCTCGAATGTAAGGCAAAAATTCAGTTATCTAAACTTCTCTCCAGCTCTATAATTTTATCATTTTAAATATTGTATATTCTATACAGTACCCACGACAACCAACAGTAACATCTTCTAAAGTTCATAAATATTAAAAGGAATCAATGAGCGAAGATATTGCACCAGGCAACATTTTCTTTATCATGCAGCCATACTCATTTTTAAAAATACACTTTGTAATTTCACTAGTTTAAGTAATTATCAGCACCTAGAAAAAGCACAAATCTGCCTATATAAGTACACATTTAAAAATCTCAAATAGTTATGACCTTTTCATAAAGAAACTCATCTCAAGCAATAAATTTATGAAAGCTGCCGTTGCTTGCATAAATCAATTTAACTTTTCCTTAAATCATTAAGATTTTAAACTGGAGAATGATACAGGAATGGATACAAGGAGGCCCGAATCTCTTAAGATTTAAGATGTTCTGAATCTGCAATGAGTAATGATCACAAATGTAAGATCTATCCAATTCTAAACATACTGATTTTTCTTTTTCAAATCAGTCCTAATCAATCAGATCGCCCCCATGGATACTGTGACAGACCTTTCTCTAAGGCTGTTCCCTGTCTTGGTGAAGGGCACCCCCTGCCCACTTGTACAGGGCAGAGCCCTGAGAATCCTTCTGACCCCTTCTCCACCCAAGCACCATTGAATTCCATTCTCTTGACAGCTACACGAATGAGCTGCGTAAAATGCAAAGTTGTGCGTATTTCATTGCCTTGCTAACAACCTTTAAGTGGTTCCCCATGGCCTGAGCATAGTCCTAATTCCCTTATTAGATTTTAAACGTTTGTTCTAGTCGGCCTCCTCCCACCCCTCCACTGATCTGAGTCTTGCGCTTTTTATCCTCCCCATTTCTGTGCCTCCCGCCCACCCTCCCTCCCGGTGACACTCATTGTTAAATTAGTGATTTCCCCAAGGGGCAGGAATGCGTCTTTGATCACTTAGCCTGAAACATCCTTCAGCCCTTTCTCTCGCCAGCTCCTGCTGTCCCGCTGGGTCTCTGATTAGATGATTTCCTGCAGCTGGCTTCTCATAGCCTCCTCCCGTGGGTTCTCTAATCCCAACCCTAGCCTTCCACAGGCGCTGGCACACAGTACTGTAATTATCTATGTTCCCTATTTCACCACTAGATTAAGTGGCTGACCTGTGTCCAGAACCTGACCTTTCAACTCAGAGAGACGGGCTCCAGACTCACTTCCTGCATTTACAGGTTGTGTGCTTTTCCGTACATTTCCTAATCTCTTCGCATCTCAGTTTCTACCCTGCAAAGAAAGATCACAATAAAGATTAATGACAAAATGTGTGTCAAGCCTTTTTCATATAGCCAGGTGTGACAATTAGGTTTGTTAGCTGGACCAGTTTGGAGGCCGCCTAGGGGCTTAGTGAAGCATATTTGTGAGTGTGTTTGGGTGGGTCACGGAGGTGTGATCTTGAGGTCTACACCTGGCTTCTTGCTCTCTGGTGCTGTTCCCCTGCTCGCCTTCCTGCCTCTTAGGAACTAATCAGCTTTGCTCTGCCACACCCTTCTGCCATGCTATTTCTGCCTTGGAGCCAGCTGGCCGCGGACTGACCCCTCTGAAGCCATAAGCCAAACTAAATTTCCCCTCTTTAAGTTGTGAGTGTCAGGTATTTTGTATCAGCAACAGGAGAGCTAATAGTAGGCACTTAGAAGATGGTCAGGAAACAGGAGTTACAAATGATAACAACTTTGCCCAAAATCTCCTCCCAGACTAGACACTTCTCTAGAGAATAGACAGTTATTAGATATAGAGGAAAAAGAAAACTGATTTTCCCAACCCATAAAGATTCTTTTAGCTGTAAGTTTGCTTGGCAGGTCTCTTTGGTGCCTCAGTTTCTTTATCTGAGCATGCTTCATATAATCCATGTAATCAAAGGATAGAATCAAAGAATGTAATCAAAGGATATAGAATAGAGATACCATTCTGAAATGGCATATTCCTTTGCTTATTGTTTGTTGAAAGAAATGCTATTTTAAGACATTGAAATACATGATGCTAACTGGAAGTTAATAAACCATAAATAATTTAAAACAGCAAATCCTCCCTTTTAGTCAGGACCCTTAACATTCGTCTTTCTGCATCCTTTTTATCAGAAAAGATAAGTTATGGAACAAGTTATTAGGGATTGCACCACACTTTCTGTCCCCATCTGCCATAATAGCTATAAAACTGAGCAAATGAACAGCTACTGTAAAACAGGCCCCAGTAACTAGGAAATAACTGTACCTTGTACAGCAAAGCCTTGGATGCTTGAAATTGGGATTTTGTTTGCTATTTACATTTTAGACTCACAGACCATTAAAACTAGAAGATATGTAACATTCTGGGGAAGAAGAGAAGATTGAACATATGCGTATTTTACTACCTTCAAATTCCACAAAAGTGATAGAAAAAATTGTTGTAAAATACACAAGGTGAAAAGAATAGGAGAGGAGACAGTGCAACAAATGTCATAAGTTGGGAAACAGTAAATGAGAAGTAGCAGACTTAGATGGGCTTTTGTTCTATTTTTTAATGGACAATAACTTTATGTACGGGTATAATGTGATGTTTCTATGGATGAATATATTGTGGAATGATCAAATCAAGGTAATTAGCATATCTTTCACTGCAACTACTTGTCATTTACCTGTGAGAACATTTAAAACCATCTCTTTTAGCTATATCATCGTGAACTGTGGTTGCCATGTTGTGTAGCAGATCACCAGAACTCGTTTTCCTAACTGCAGTGTGGGGCCTTTTGGCCAGACATCTGAGCTAGACCTCGATCGCACACCTGCAAGCGGAAGCTAAGAAGTAGACCAGTTCCAGTACTGAGCCCCAGAAGTCTCTGGAACTTACGGCTCCAGATAACCCTGAAACTTAAGAACGAAGTAGAGCAGTTGAAGAGTTGGGTGATGTTTAAGAAGCAGTTAAATCTTCAGATCACCGCCTCCCACTCCCTGCAGCAAATCCAGCGTCTCTCCAGCACCCCACCCACACACTGGAGCCTTTGTCCCAGAAAGCAGTTTCTGGACTGGGGGATTTGGCCACAGTTGGGGATTGTACCAAACCCAGTGGAATAAACAGAACATTGCAGACTGAATGTTGAGACACACCCCACCACACCCCAATCTCTTACCTTGGTGTGCTCCAAAACGAAAAGATCCAGGGTTATAGCTTTCAAGCAAGAAATTGAAAAGTAATTCTGTAGGGAGCATGAGTAGCCCTATAGTAGATGTAAGGACTCACAAAATATCCCGGGAAAACGACTCCCTGATGAGCCTCAGAGTCAGCACACACAGCTTCCCAACAGCTCAGAGATCCTAAATGCAAACAAATGGCCAAGGGTTGCGAGATAGCTGAGGGAGGTTATAGAGCAGAAAGCAAAGCAAGGGAGAGAGGGAGAGGCAACATGGAGAAATAGAGACCACGGTAGGGAGAATAAGGCCTTAAGTAACCATAATGAATGTGTCCTGGTAGGTAGGAAATGTTACTTTATGCATAAAGGAGAAAGCTTAAAATGTTCTCTTTAAAAACACATTCAGGAAACCAAAGCTTCTTGGGAATTACATACATAATAG